CCTGCTGCTGCTGCTGGCGCTGCGCCTCAGGCGCTGGCGCCGCTCGCAGCAGCAGCAGCAGCTGCTGGCCACGGCCGGCGCCGCCTTGCGCGGCGTGCCTGCCACGCACTTCGTGGGCATCGACGGCGTCCGCGCCTTCCTGCACTCCTACTCGCACGACGTGTCTCTCACGGCCGACTCGCGCAAGAGTCACCTGCGCTTCTCGGCCGCCAGCTGCTGCGACACCCTCCCGGCCCGCCCGCCGCCCGACGAGCCCGCGCCGCTGCTCGGTGAAGAGGAACCTGCTGGCGACCGTCCCGCTGACCCCGCCGCTCCTCCTCCGGTGAGTTCCTTTGAGACCGAGTATTTCGGCAACGTTTCCCTCTGCTGTTTCCTTGCTCTTTCACCCCAAGATATGTGTGACACGTACGGAGGACGTGGACGTGCTTTCATTGTCCTGGTTTACATGTGGAGGGGACAGAAGCAGTTAGTCTGCTTCTTACGGGAGATTCATCTGTAGTTTATGTCAAGTCATTACTGTGGTTCATGATATTCATTGGCATAATTTTTCCTGGAGGAGAGCTTGCCCTTTGCCTTTCGAATCTTGGCATTTCTTCTTTGAAGTGCAAGTTGCAAACCCGTTTGCATATTATGAGGGTAAAACAAGTTTGCATTGTGAGGGGTTTCTGTCCAGTTTCATTATCACAGACTGTGAGTTTCTTACTGCGGAAGGTGTGAGTGCTTACCTTACTTCTATTGGTGTGTTTCTATTGGTTTGCAGGTTGATATGATCTATTTTACTAATAGCTTATAGATGTACTGATTATAAATGCCACAGTGACAGCTTTGGGAGGATCCAAAGCATTGTTGATTTGCTGTGGTGTAACTTTGAAGAGTATATTCTGATTATTTCATTTCTGCAGATGTTAACTTTTTGCCTTGCTCCTTCTTAGGCTCGAAGTGTGGGCCTTTATATCTGATAGCATCTCATCAGCTCTGTTGAGCTTGTTCCTTGTCAAGAGGCCCTGGGGCTGAAGAAGGCTGATGGTCTCTTTGAGCTGATACTTTAATGACTGGGGTTTTATAACACTTATGAACTTGAGAACATATTATGTTTCTTAGAGTAGGGATGAGCAAAGAAATCTGTTTCCTTCTGTTAGTGTTTCGACCTTCATTCATCTATAGGGAGATACTGTGCATGTGACTTTTGTCTCATTGATGCCTGTTTGCAAATGCAGCTTTTTTGTTGGGTAATGTTTGGACAGAGTGAAAAAGTGCAGGCCAAGTTATGGGTTTATCAGTTTGCTTTCCTAATGCACTCTGTTCGCAGTGGCTGGTAGTTAAATTCTACTTCACTTGTTGTGATGAGGTAAAGGTGGGCTCATGTATGTCTGAAAATGTCACTGGATTCAGTGCTTTTGCTTGCCACATATTTATGAGGTAAAGCCAGTGCAAGATCAGGCAGAGACTGGCTTAAAGCAGGGAAAGAGGGAGTTGTATAGTCCATCTGTGTGTGTGTGCTATCATGTTGTGACAAGTGCCAAGGCCTGTGCCACTTACACCCAGTGCCTTTTTCCTGAATCCAGGAAGGAGAGGACAATCCTATGATGAATTTGTCTGCAAGCAATACCCAGGGAAGTCCAAACATGCTTCAGAGATTCTGTGTCTTAAGAGCTGCTGTGAGAAATATCATTTCTCCATCTCTCTGTCCTTATATGACTGCAATGCAGAATTCCATCCAGGTTGTATTAAGATTTTCCCAGCCTTGAGCAACCTGCAGATGTTATTAAAGGGTCTTGCTCGTATAAAGTAACTGCCGAGGTTGTATCATGTAATGTGTGAGTAAAGGGTGTGGATGCAGAGCAATGAGGATGAGAGGCTGGCTTCCTGCTGGGAAAACTGGAGGATGAATGTGGTTTTGGCTGGGCAGTGTTTTGATGTTGTGCCTGGTGCCAAGGCCTGTGTCATCTTTTCTGTGCCCCTGGTTTCCCTGTCCTGCATTTAGAGGGATGATTCATGGACAGATGTTTTGAATGAGTGGTTTACATTGCTTAAAGAATCCCCTCTAGAGGTATGATCAAAAGTAAATTTAATATGATGTGGTAGACTGGTGGGAATGGAAGAGATGGAAGGGTATTTTGTTAATGAATTTACTTGTTATTTAAAGTACCTGTGAGAAACTTGCTAATTTAATCCTCTCTTGTCTGATAGAGCTCTGCCTGAGAATGCTGGTTTATGGAGGTAAACACAAACTTTGCATTAACTTTTGCAGAGAGCTATATCTTTCAAAATGCCCATGTGCTGAGGAATAATGATGGTGTCTTTCAGTTGATTCTCAAGACTGAGCCTTTAACTCAGCCATGTAAATTTAAGGTTTCCATGGATGCATCCACGTTATGATCGTTGTTCTCCCTAAGGAGAGTCTTTCAGTGATATCTGTCTTGAAAGGTAGCTTTTCTCATTTCTTGTTCTCTGAAGAAATCACCTGGAGAAGTATGCCTCTGAATACTGGATACTCCTCCTGTATACCTGCTGCATTTGACACAGCCTGACATATTAGGCCAGGATTCCTTCACTTCCATGGGTTTGCCATTTTTCCCTGTCTCTTCTCATGTTCTAAAACTGGGCCTCAGTTTGGATGATAGTCCTTGAAAACTGGCCTGCTTAAATTAACAGTTTGAACTCATATCTTGAAGGGGTTTAACTGCCAAGACAAAGATTGGGATATACTTCTGGTTCTCTAACATATTGCTGAATTTCGCCTGAATGTCCCTTTCTTTTCCACTTGTGTTTGACATATGGCCAGTAGTTGGATTTGTCCATGGAGCGGTTAAAGGCTGTGAATGTAGAGCAAAGAAGGTGAGAGGCTAAATTCAGATTAGGCAACAGGGTGAATTCATGAGATTTTGGCTGAGCAATAGTTTGATTTCACGGTGTATCAAGACCTGTGGCATTTTTGCTGTGATCCTGATTTTCAAAGGCAGTGGTAGAGCTCTGAAAACAGAGCTTTTGTCCACTCACCCTGCATTTAGAAGGATAACACACAGTTAGATGTCATGAAGGAATGATTTAGATTACTTAAGGAATCCCATTCAGGTATTAACAAAAGTGGTTTAATAAGAAGTTGTGGAAGTGTGTCTTTAACAAAGTGTGATGTCAAGGTTCACTCTATTACTTCCTATGTGGATGAAACACAAAAAGGACCCTTATTGAATTAACCCCCTGAGTTCCTAAACTCCTGTTGGAGCTTTGATGCATCCAGGTTCAATTTTCATCAGAGGTATGGACTGTGGTTTATCTCTAATGTAATGAGTGACATGGATTCCATTTGCATTGATGTCTCCATCACCTACTGAGGATCTGTTGCAGGTGATGGTAATGAAGGATCTCTTGTCTCAGGTAAGGATGGGCAAGCCTTGATGGGTGTTGCTGTTCAAGGGAAGAGTCACCTGCAGCCCAGCTGCACTTCAGGGAGGACTCTGGACTCATCCAAAGATCTCTTGTTGGTAAAAGATCTCCCTGCCCCGAGGAATAAACCTGAGAGGTGTCCCATCTTGATGGGAGATCAGCACCATGCAGCCACACTGCCCAGCAGAGAGAGTTCAAGAAGTAAATATGATGGCTCCCATCAGCTTTATGGGATAAAGTAGCTTGCTCCAAGTCAAACTACATAAAGTGGGAAAGGTCTGAATGAGGCTCCTTGTACCCACAGCTCTTTTTTCTTTCCTTTGATGAAGGAGTCTGGGAAAAGGCCCCTACTATTCATGTGTTCGTTGGATGATCAGTGTTCCAAGCTGACAAACACTGATGTTCACTGTGTCAGTCTGCTCCTTGGAGGATTTCCTAGAGGAATTCTTGGCCCAGCTTCAGTAAGTTTATGATTCCTCTATGAAACCTCTTTCTCCAAATTATATCTCCCTGGATGTTGCAATGGGGAGTTTCTTCACAGTTGCAATTACACTTTCTTTCAGGCTTTCTTTTCCTGGAAAGCCGTGCTTCTTTTTCACCCCCCCCCCCTTTTTTTTTTTTTTTTTGGTAGTCCTTTTGCATTAGAAGCTGGGAGTGTTTTTTTGCAGCAAATGCTTTAGTAACATAAGCCAAAATATTATGTGTGAGGAAGAAGGTAAAAGTAAAAGAGACTTATCTTGAGAGAGAGGCTTATGATAAAATCTTTAAAGTTGATCCAGAGTAAGACCTCAGGGTAACACTTGAAGCTTCAGTGGCTCCCAGGTGCTCCCAGAGATGGATTTCTGTGTTCAGAGTGAAGACTGAGATGTCCTCCTGGTGAGTTTCTCTGAGAACACTCTTAATCCTTCCTTGCATTGCTCATCTCATTTTTTCCTTGCCCCTCTCTGTATATACATTTAATTGTATTTACCAAGGCCTTGTTCTTCAGTGCCTCTTTTGTCATGTTGTAGCTGGTGTGGAAGGCAGGAGATGTGAGTGGCACAGCTTGGAGTTTCAGTTGTGCTGTGAATCAACAGCTGTAAAGAGGACTTCAGCATAAAGTCCCAATTTTATGGAACAGTGTGTGTGATGGAAGAGGGGAAGATATTTCCTTAAGTGCATAGTTCAATGACCCAGTCTCTGCTGGGAGATGACTACTCCTCTTTTAGTTTGTCTCTTTCTCATTCCTCTAGTATTTCTGTAATTATATATCTTCTCAGAATGGTGGGGAGCAAACAAGTGTGTTTCCTTCCTCTATATGATCATTATTCGCTATCTTTTCATGTGATATTTTTGCAAAGTTGAACAGGGCTTTAGAGGGGTCAGAACGATGACATAGTTGTAGAATAGTTTTTAATTCCTATGTGAAACCACCTTTCTTTATCTAGATTTTTCTGTAACTTTTAGATGGAGAGTATCATCCAGGTCAATATTCCATTTTCCCACCCTCGATCTTCCTTCAGGCTTTGTTTCCTGCTAGATTATGCTTCATGTTTTCCACTTGCAGACTCTTCTATTCCATGTATAACTGTAAGTGTTGTTTTTCAGCAAAGACTGACTTGCCTTGAGAGCCACATGAAGACAGAATGTTTCATTTGAGGAAAATTAGGCAGCAGCTAAAACTGAGTTGCTCATAAGTCCTTCTGTTCAGATCAAGGCCTTTGATAAGGAATTCAGGGATACTGCTTAAAAATCATGATGAACAGGACACAAGTAGAACATTTCACAAGGACAGGTGTATTTCCAAAAATTTCCCCCCTCCCCCCATATATTTCAAAGCAAGACTTTTGAACCTTAAATGTGGATTCAGACTTCTGTGACTTCCAGGTGCTTTGTGAAGTGTTTTCTTAAGGCAGAGATGTGGCAAAGCATCTGTACCTCAAGGAGTCCAATGTTTCCCTCTGAGGGGCCAATCACAGCTTTTGAGTCTGTTTGGTAAAAGTCAGAAATGGGTTAGTGATTTGAGTTTCTGCTCTGCAAGAAGGCCCTCGTGGAAAACACTTGCACACAGCCATATCCACTGCTGACTCCAAGTGAGTAACATGCATTTACAAGGAGCATTATTGCATAGCAGAAGTCACCTCTGATCCCTGTGTGGCAAGCTCTGAAACATAACACAGCTTGTACAGTACTGCTGGCCAGTGTCACCACTCAGAGGATTCTAATTACCTTTTGGGGAACTGCAGGACTGCACACACCTCTGTGTGATTTCCTACACTATGGAGACCTGGATTTATCAGAGTAATGAATATTCTATGTTGGACAGTGGGAGGTATTTGGTTTGGCTTCTTTGCTTTGGTTCATTATGTGCCAGGAATCATTGATGTTTAAAAAAAAAACCAACAAACCAACAATCTCTTAAGCTCATAAAGTCACCTAGTCTGGTAAAGGGAGACCTAAGCATCCTTAGAAATCAGTGCAGTTTGCCTGCTTTATCTCTCAAGGTGTCAGTGGCTTTCCATGTGCTCTGGGCATGAGTTTTTAAGGCAGAGTTTTGTCAAAGCAACTGAAAACCACAGAGGCGATGCACCTGTTCCAATGAGGTCAGAAGGAGGTCTGGGATTTGTGTAGGAATCATCAGAAATCACTGTACAGCTTCCAGCTGGTCATGCTGTCGTTAGATATGCTGACTAGATGACAGGACTTTTGCCTAGAAGCTCCCAAACTCCAAGTGACAGAAATGCCAAAACAATTGTTATGGCAGCCCTTGGGGTCTGGAGTGTGCCCATTTCTCACAGCCCTATCTAGTGACACATATAATCTGTAAAGCATCTGAGCAACTTTTGGTTTAGATTTTATTTTTCTGTGCTCTGACTGTGGAGGAGGGAATGTCTATTGCTGTAGCACATATATGTCCTTGTTAGATTTTGTCCCAGATAAGGACGCTAGATGTAAAAGTCCTTATTATAGCATCATATTTTTAAAAAATCTATTGTAGCTACGAAATCTCTTCGGCATGGGTATGAGACTACTGGTCTTCCTCTAATCATTAGAATTCCTTCTAAGCATTAAGCAATTGCTGATTGGAATCGAGCGGAGACTCCACAGCGCAGCTCAAAGGCGGCTGCAGTGCTGCGGCGGCGCCTCCGGGTGTCGCTGTTGGCCGCCGCCGAGCGGCGCTGGAGCCGCAGCCGCCGCCGCCGCAGCGTCCTGCCCCCGCAGGCTGCTCGCTCGCCCGGCCAGTGGCGGCCAGAGCGGCAGCGGCACGGGCAGCAGAGGCGAGAGGCGGCC